ATTCACTGTTAAATTCCCCAACTACTGTTTGGGTTTAGTACCGTCAGAGCAAATCTTATGGTTTACAATTAACTTCTTTTTTGACAAGTGGTGCTTTTGATACTAAAACAAGAAGAAACACTCAGACATTCTATCTTTATACATTCATTGGTCTTCCTTCGAACTTTACAAAGTAACATGATTACGTAAAGACATCTTAGTTACTTCGAGCTTTATTTCTTGTTACACTTGTAGTAAAGATTCATTTGTTTAACATCCAGAGGACTGAGATGACTTCGCTGGCCAATTGATGCACCTGATTGCCTTGGTCTTATGGTAGTCTGCCATGGCCATCGAGCAAAGTCTCGCTTGCCGTAGTGCATGATTGAACCATAGTCATAAGGAACACCCAAGCTGTCGATGGAGCCATGACCGTACTTGTTAAAATTGTGCTTGTTATCTGCCAAGATAAACAAAATTTTTACTTAACATGGTATTTCAAATTTAGAGATAAAGGCATTTTGTCAGGATGTCAAAATAAATTCTGTTTCCTGTTTTTCCCGGTCTGGACATCTATTGCACGAATTTCTTCGGGCCAGTTCCTTGCGTCTGTCGATGTGGGTGAGAGTGATTTTGGATTTAAATTCGCGTCAGCCATTAAAAAAATTGCGTCGTTGCATGTGATGGGTTGTCGGAATATAAAGTGCTATTAGTTGTAGTAATTGGACCGAGTGAAGTACAATTAGTTGTACTCGTACCACTAAATTTTTTTCGTTTCTGATTGAATCGTTATGCATTTTATCCATTTGGGTCATTTCAAACTGTTCACGTTAGATCGTCCAAGTTCTGCATCTATACCATCCACCGCGAGCAATTTATTTTCTTGCCGCAACCTTACAATTGCAGAGCTCGAGGATAATGAGACTTTCTCGCTAAAAGAAGCCCTAAAAGTTCATCACATCTCGATCTCGATCGATCAAATTAATTTTAAATTTACTCTCCATATCACTGAATTTTTGTTCACTCGGTCCAATTATTAAACGATGAAATCTGTACAATTTCAGCGTACTCGCATAACACTCCCAGGCTAGGCAGCCATACCTGGTTTAATATTATCCCAAACAATTTCGACATAGTCATCACGGTCCGGGCGGCTTTGTTCGTGCCAGAATCCTGTAAAGGAACACCAAAATAACAGTGTCAAACCGGCGAAACTATAAATATACCTAGTTGTCAGAGCTCGCATAAACTCCTATACTATGGAGGTGTCTGCTAAATTGGTTTAGTATAATTTTATTCATGTACTAATGCGAATGCTGCAATGTGATTGGCTGAGCTATCGTACTCTGGGTTGTCACGCTTTCTCGTTTTCTCGATGAAAATTTAGAAACAATGGATAATCAAACTTCCGAGAAGACGTAAAGAAACTGACAGTCAAGGTTTCTCGACTTCGGCAGCTCTGAATTGTCGAAAAAAAAAAAAAAAAACCGATGAGCACGCGCACACAACTGCAAATTTCAAATGATGACAATTTAATCAGTGCGGTTTTTCTGAAGCGTGAATGCCAATACAACCGTAGTTTAATAATTGGAAACTATTCTTTGAAGTAAATTTATGCTAGAATTCTACTAAGAAATGATAATTTGCTCTCGACTTCCCAGCATGAGGTGATAGTTGATTCGGCCTTCGGCTTCATCGACCTTTTCGAAGTTATTCGCCAGTATTTAGAAAGAACTTTCAAAAGCAAAACGACACTGAACCTAGAGCGTGGCCAATCTCGTGTACTACAATGCCGTGAAAGTAACAAAAGCTTCCAATAGAAATATGCTGCTTTCCATTTTTAAGGTCTCCAACGTAAGACCAGCATCTGCAAGAAGCCAAAATAAAGTGTTAGTTTTCTTGTTACGAATTTTCTGACCAGCAGTTTCACTATTTCGTCATCGGGCCGACATGAGCATCAAAACGTCTCAATAGTAAACAATCATTTATTTGTAAATAGACCATTTCCTAGTTGCCTTTTGCCTCCGTGTCAAAACGAGTCCTCGTGGAAAACCATTCATAAGAACCTTTGTTCCAACTAGAGTTTCATTTTCCTGTAAATCAAACTCACGTTCATAGGAAAGGTTTTGCACAAGGAATAGTTTTGAAACAGACGCACAAGGAAAGTCAGAAAGGGCCTACAGGTTGTTATAATTCCTAATTGCATCATGTATTACGGATAACAGTTTAAACCCATAGTTGCAAGACCAACTGATCAATAACAAGTTTCCTTAATATTTGTATTCGAGTTCATACACCGCTTCATTAAAAACCCTCCCGCAATATAAATACACAAAAGGTATCGCAGAATCTTACCCATCACCGGCGAAGAACTCCACGTAGTCTTTCTGAGTAGTCCTGGGCACGAATCGGATGCACGTTTTCTCTTCCCACTCCTTCATGGCACTATATATTGCTCTTTCTGTCGGTCCCTTTATTCCAAGTGCGTTTAGAAATTTGTTTTCTGAAGAGTTAACCAGAATTCACGTAAAATCGCAAGTTACTAATTTTATTATTAAACTCGACCATCCCTTTTACTATTGCAGTTGTTGTCTATATTACCTAATTTATGTGTATATAAAACCATTTGGTGAGCACGAAATGTCCGATCCACGGATGAGGATATTTTATGATTGATATCATGAGCAGGCGACCACAAGCCTCGTCCACTGAACAGCTACGATCTAAGGCGGGCGCAACAACTCCGATTAGTCGCAGCATTCTTGGGATCTCAAAGAAATTTCAATCATTTATTTTGCGTTTTCAAAAACCAGAAGCATTATTTCACTTAACACAAACAGGATTGCGTGTTATACTGTACGTGCAAAGACATGCAGGAAATGTAAATAGGCCATAGTCGTATTCTCAGTATTAATTGGACTGAAACTAGCAGGGAAATATCATAAATTAAAAAGAGAGAAATGTAATTTACACTTGAAAAGACTCCTCGCCTTAGCCTCGATCAGTTGCAAGCTAGTTCGTAGCCAAAACCGAGAATACGAATATGGTATAATGATAAAAATAACGACGATCGCGATAGGAAAAGTGTCCGGGAATAAAATCTTGTATCATACTTGCGCTAGAATGTATTGTGTAGGGAACTATTCCACCAGGCCATTGTGCTCTGCGTTTTAGTCCGCGAGCTCCGCCTGTAACAGTTGGGTCCAGGCCGTGCTCAGCCGCTTGAATCTGCTCCATTGGTAACATCATGTCTCCTTCAAATTTTTGAAATCTCGAGAAGCCTGAAACATAAAGCAGTGATAAACTTTTGCCATATAAAATTTTTAAAGATGTTGCATACACATAACAGAACCATACAGACATATTCCGTATCTGCAAACTTAGAATTCGAATAGCAACCGACCTCTCCACGCCCTCTAAAAGAAGAACCCTCTCTAGTACAGACAACGGACACTAAATCTCAACCCAAGAGAGCTGTTCTGAAAATTCTAGAGTACAATGAATTGCAGAACATGAAATTCTGAACTGTAACACTGAATGAAAAGAGGACCAGTAAGGCTTAAAACGTAAGTCTATCTCAGCATAACAAAAAAATACGTGTAAAAGAAGCCCGACTAATATGGAAAATTATCCTGCTTGCTGCAATATATTCTCAGTTACCTCGTTTTTCGCTGTCTTCCTTCATCACTGGAACTCCCAAAGAGGAAGAAACGAAGAGAAAAAGAAACTAATATAACATTTTGGATAAACAGCCGGCCTCGAAAGCTTTACAGTAAGTTTGGCTGTGAATGACCTCGACGTTGATGTTAAACTGATTTGGCCTTTGTCGACTTAGAAATTCTCCTCAGGTGTCTCTAACGTGATAACCATTTTAGTTAATTTATAAATATTGTCTCAACTGCAGAATCTTAGGCCCAGCAACACATATCATAAGAAAAGAGCTATGCTGCTTTTGTTGTCAATGTTGAACTAGCTATGGAGGCTAAGACTAAAACAATAAAAGGTGTAACAATTGTCTATAAAGGTTTATGCGCTTTATTTTTTTGTTAAACCCATGGAATTGTATATCTGTTGACAAAGAGAAGTTTAATTGAAATAGCTGAACAACTAATCACAAATTGAAAGATATATGTTTAACTTGGAAACTGTTTCAATATGTATCAAATTCTTCCATCATGTTTAACTGAAACAGTTGATTTGATTCTCGTTCTGTTTTTGTCATTTTGTTTGTGTTGTTTTGTTTCTTTAGTAACTGAGAATTCTTTTTAGCTTCTTATTCCCCTACGATTAGTTATTCGTTATTGTGTTTGTTAGTTACAGCTGTTTCCAAGGAATAATACAGCTTTCATCATGGTGATTAGGAAAATGCGTTATTTATCAGTCTATTTACCTATTAAAGGTATCGTGACAATAAATTATTTGAAACAAACCAAGCAGATGTGCGTCATTTATATTGTGTCAAATGTCAACTCTTTTGTGCAAATTCGGTGAAAACTATTGCGAATGAAAAACATTAAATTCAGGACTTCGAGCGTAGGAAGGAAAATTTGTTGTAACTAAGATCGAATTCAGTGGCAATCTAACATCTGCATGAAGGTGTTATTTAGTTCTCTGTTATTTATCGCCTCGATTTTCAAGGGGTCCTCTTCTGTGACGACCGCTGAAAACGACAATTTACGGGGTATGGCCTGGGTTCGTTAAGTATCTCGATATACTGTAGCTAGGAACACTACAATCTAGGCTAATATGATACACTGGGCTGTTATTCAGTCTCAAGAACGAAGTATAGAGTAATTACGAAGGTTTTTTTTTGTAAAGAAGAGCACGCAATGCCAAGTCAGAAGTCTATAAATAACACTCAAATTACAGCGTTTTTGCTTGAGTCAGAAGTAAACGTGAATGTTTAAAAGGCCATATAGGATTAGTTGTATCAATTATATGATGAGTGGGGAAACAGACGAGTTAATGAATGATTTTTCGTTCGATAAGATCCAACTTAGCCATGGCGTTAACCTCGGCAGGGAAATGGAGGCCCCATTGATGGAAAAGAAATGTTTGGCCTCTGTCAGATTTAAACTCACCAACGGAGCGTAAAACTCATTAGAGTTAACTTTTCTTATATTGTGCTGGTTGCCTAAAATTTCTTTGCCAGTGGCTACTTGACTAGTCTCCTCAGCAGCCGTTTTTTGGGATGTCACGCAACGCTCCCCCCAAGGAGACTAGTCAAGTAGCCACTAGCAAAGAAATTTTAGGCAACCTGCGGGCAAACTTAACAAAAGATCGTTCCAGTATACCAGGATCTTTAGTGGAGCGTTGCGTGACATCCCAAAAAACGGCTGCGGAGGAGACTACTACTTGACCGCCTGCATATCGCATTTCTCTTCTGCGTCAGTAACGCTCGAGTATTGACAAAGCCTGTAAAAATTGACCAATCAGAAGGTATACCAGATCCTGGTATACTGGAACGATCTTTTGTTAAGTTTTCCCGCAGGCGTTCTTTCGCTTTCCCTCGTCGTTCCTCTCCTCTATTTTTCGCTCGCTGTTTTTCGCGCTGTGCCCCAACTAACTGAACGCCTGGAAGATGCTAAAGGTGCGGTGATTCTTCCAATGAAACAAGTGGGAAGAAAATTGCACCGTTAACTCCGGTAAAGCTGCAGGGGAACTAAGAACCAGTTGATGGCGACATCCGGTATCACGTCATCACGTATCACGGAACCGCACTTGGTCACCAATGTTGCTCAGGAAAGAGACGCAACCTCATTGCGTCATGCTAACGTGACTGGTTTTGGAGTACTCGTGAGTACTCGGGCAGCTTACTCGGGCTAGAATCGGAAACTCATCAATTACTTTAAGGAAGATTTATCAGAAAATGTACCTGTTTTCTCGATATTAACAGTTTCATGGCCTGTCTTGTGTAACTAAATTCACAGTCAAAATAGTCAAAACTACATTAATTTTTTTTCAACGCGGCAGTTAACTCTTCGTATAACCGTGGCTTTATGACATTGTCAGGCTTAACATTCGATTCTGAGTTCTCTCAGTGGTTACGGCAATTTTGGGGGTATGCGTGCTTTAGAGTTAGAAATCTGGACCCCTATACAAATCCGAATGAGAAACAAATTCAACTTTCATCGACCAATGCAACAAATCACAAATTTCAGAATAGCTATTTCTTTGAAAATCCAAAGCATGAAATTCCCACTATTGTTTGATAAACTTTTTTTCAGAAATGAAGTTCTTAACGCTGTCGGTTTAAAGGGAATGACAGAAATGGCAATAGACCGTGCAATATAAGATAGGGAAGGAAAAAAATGTGTTAAGTTTGTCCCTCGCACAAATCACGCAGATTACGTGGGTTTTTTTCGCGGGAAGGTGTAAGTAAAAAATTTTTGGAATATCTTAAGTGGTCATCCTTCCTATGTTTGCAACTTTGCATCTCTAATTCATTTAACTTACTTCAATTACGTAATTCGAGGTCTTTTATACTAGTGACAGAATTAGGAGTGATCATAACAAAAGACACCGTAAGAAAAAAAATTCATATTTACTGGGACCAGGATTTCTTCAATTTATTGTAGGTTTTTAAGTCAACATATACAGACACTAAGCTGTAGTTTGATTGTAATGGGCATAAAAATTGCACGCGCGGTCTACAGTTGTTAATGCGTTAAGCCTCATACTCCAACTGATTGTGAAATTCTGTTTTGAGAAAGTATTTTAATTTGACACTAAGCCAGACACTACACGTTTTCTGAATTATTTATCACGACTCCATGAAAATGTATTTATATATTTTGACAATCCCGAACGTGAAATACGAAAATGCTGGCCTGAAGCTTTGGCGACATTTTATGTCATCGCAATAATCTAGTCCTTCCGCTATCACTCGGTGAAAACAAGAAAATAATCATCCTCATATTCAGTTGATAATGTTTAAGCCACTTTCTTTTCAGATGTTCTACGTATGCAGAATTGGCGGAAAACAGAGAATCTCTCTTGGATGTTTTTGTTGGTGGACAGGTGTTGCACAACACGAGATTGGGCATGCACTTGGTAAGTATAAATTAACACCCGGGTACTTTCAAGTCCTACACAAACAAACAGAGCTCTCCTTAACCTCCCTTTGTCTTTGACTTATTACTGTGATTTATCAACGAGAAAAGAGCTCGCTCAAACCGTTTAAAACAACAACGATAGTCGACAGACGGTCAGAAAAGGAAAGGAAAAATTCTGCTTAAATCTGAATTCGATCCGGACCTAACCGTCTAAACGCCTCATCCACAAATTCATTTTGCCTTATTTTTGGTCAAAACACAGTCCTGAAAGAAAAAAAATAACAAGAAAAGTATTCTATGGGTGTAATCTTACATGTCTTTACTTGCAGCAATGCTAATGATTTGAAATAAATAAAATGAGGGCATACCACAGAAGCTTTATCCTACTGTAAGGTATAAGTTCAGTCGGAGGTTTGAAAAATCTTACCCATCCTCAGTTCCTTCAAGGTACTTAAAAATTTCAAAAATGGAATAACCAATAAGAAGGGGTAAGAGATTCTCTTCCATATCAACTTTCTTTTCTCTCGTAA